AAATAATCAAAATCCAAATTACTTAAAATAACCGTAAATAGTTTTCGACCAATTATTATTGTTTACCACTTTATTTATACATTAATGAGGTTGCTAAGTCTATGAATATTTTTTGTTTCAACACTGAACTTAGCGCACTCTGCTGGTGCACTTGAAAACTAATTCATGTTCCAATTATGCATTAGCACAATGCGGCATTGTGCGACACTGAGTCGCATTATGCTCTGTAATTGGAAAACGGAGAGTGTGAGCAATTTTGTTCAGATTACGGTTGAATAATTCCTACTACTAGATATTTTTCTGGTTTTTTATAGGGCTATTCATTTTTCCTAGTATTAGTAACTAGTTTTGTGAATAATTGCCAATGATGCAATATAAATTAATAGAAAATTTTGATACATAGATTTTAGCAGCATACATCAGATTTAAAAAAAGTATATTTTTATTTTTAGTTTTTATTAAATTCTAACATAAATATGATAATATACTTAAATTAGGTTCATTAAATTCTATGTAATGTATCTAAATGTAATTTATATGAGATTTGTAATCATGAGTATAAATATAATTATGTTTATTTATATGCAAAAATAATAGTAGACATATCTATAATCCAAATGCATTATATTAAATAGAAATTCATTCTATTTATATCCGTTCACATTTAATTTGAATTTGTTAATTTCATTTGAAAATGTATTTGATTATTTTTGAATTAAAAAAGAAATTCTTAGTGAATACTACTATACAAATAAATCACTAAAAATTTGCTATTAGGATAAATATTATTTCATGATTATTTTAGGTGTAAAATGATGCATAGTTAGAATTAAATAACGTCATCCGTTAGTGAAGTTACGACACGTGTTCAGTGCGTTGACACTAGTCTAAAAGATAGAGTAGAAAAGTAGTAGAAAAGTTGGTCTAATTTTGAATTTTATTTGTACATTATTGCATTTTTGCATAAAGGTTAGTAAAAATACTAATACAAGTATTTTTATTTTACTTAAGCATACAAATATTTATGAGATTGTGGATAAATTATATTGTGATATCTTGAGTGATTACATTCTATTTATTTGTGTTTATATACAAAGAAAAAACAATTGTGAATTAATGGCGAAAAGAATTCAACCACCTTGGAGTCTTCCAGAAAGGAAGGCACCTACTAAACTATATCTATATAATAGCTTAACTCGAGAAAAGGAAGAATTTATTCCTCAATTTGGAAATAGAATTCTGTGGTATAGTTGTGGCCCAACAGTTTACGATGCCTCACACATGGGTCATGCCAGGTATTAATATAATGAATAAATTAATCAAAGTAATATTATTATGATGTACTTATTAATTGTATTTGTATTATTTTTATAGATCATATATATCCTTTGATATCTTACGGAGAGTATTGTCAAATTATTTTGGATACGATGTCTTGTACGTAATGAATATAACTGACATAGATGACAAAATTATCAAACGAGCTAGACAAAATTATTTATTTCAAAATTATGTTAAAGAAAATTATAGCTTAGATAAAATATTAGATCATACTAAAATAGTAATGTCCAATTTTGAAAACATAGTAAAAATAACAACTGATCCTGATAAAAAATGTATGATGGAAAAGATGTTGAGTCGAGTAGAAAAAGCTATAGAAAATTTGGAAGAAGCAGTCAGAAGTAAAGATGAAAATGAAATTATAAAATGCCAAGAGGTATGTGGTGTAAAATTATTTTTTTACCTTATTTAACTTTGATATTTATAAACAATTGAAACATGTATTTTTATAGATATTATTGGAGGAAGCACGAGATCCTTTAGCTAATTGGTTAGATGATCAAAAAGGAGATACCGTTGAGGAACATTCAATATTTACCAAATTATCGCAACATTGGGAATCGGAATTTCACAAAGATATGGATGCTTTAAATGTAAGATACCATCGATAATGTATAATATTACATTTATATGTAAATAAGTATTTAAATATTTTTATTTCCATATAAATAGGTATTGAGGCCTAATGTCTTGACAAGAGTTAGTGAATATGTCCCGGAGATTATTGAATTTATTCTAAAAATTATCGATAATGGTTTTGCTTATGAAAGCAATGGATCTGTTTATTTTGATGTAGGAAAATTTGATAAAAAAGATAAGCATTATTATGCGAAATTGGTTCCTGAAGCATATGGTGATACATCAAGTTTAGAAGAAGGAGAAGGTATTAATATTTCATAGTTATACAATAATGATTTGATAAATTTATTAAACAGTCATGTAATTATTATTATTATTGTTAACTGGTGTTAGAAATTCGAAAGTTCATTGCCGCAAATACTAAATTTCGCCAGTGTTCCCGTCCCTAAGCGTGACTTCTCCATTCGCAGTTCTCATACCCTATTTCCTTAAGATCCCTCCTAATATTGTTCTCCCATATCTTGACCTACCCAGTGGACTTTTCCCGTTAGATATACCTATTTTGATTTTTAAGCACCTAGACAGCACCCGCAAACTAAGTAGTTTATTGACCGAATAAAAGCATGCATTGCCTAAATTGATTCTTTTCTTGAGTTCTTCGTTAATTTCGTTCGTCAGGTTTATGATCGATCCTTAATACCTGAAGTTGCTAACCCGTTCAAAAATTTTATACCAGATGACCAAGGTTCCAATATTATGCAAATTCTGAATTCTAACGGTGACCATATATTTAGTTTTTTCCATACTTATTTGCAATCCTAGTTCTTTTGTTTTGAAACAGTCATGTAATATAATTATTAATTATATTTTGAATAGGTGATTTAAGCACATCGGTTGAAACATTGTCAGAAAAGAGATCGGTAACAGATTTTGCTCTTTGGAAGCGGTCAAAGGCAGGTGAACCTTGGTGGTGTAGTCCTTGGGGTAAAGGTAGACCAGGTTGGCATATAGAGTGTTCCGTAATGGCATCAGCAATTTGTGGTGATAGTTTAGATATTCATACTGGAGGTGTAGATCTTAAATTTCCTCATCATGACAATGAACTTGCTCAAGCTGAAGCACACTTTAATAACTCGAATTGGGTTAGATATTTTCTTCATTCTGGTCACTTAACAATTGCTGGTTGTAAAATGTCTAAATCATTAAAGAATTTTATTACTATACAAGATGCATTAAAAAAGCATTCAGCGAGACAGTTAAGACTTGCATTTCTTCTTCACTCGTGGAAGGATACTCTAGATTATAGTGAAAATACTATGAATATGGCTATTCAATATGAGAAGTTCCTTAACGTAAGAATTATTTATTTAATATAGTTTATATACTATCTCATAAGATGTTATTTTAAGAAACATAATTATGTAATTGTATTTATTGTAGGAATTCTTTTTAAATGTAAAATGCAGAATTAGGTGCTCAAGTAATGCAGGTAATATAAATATTTTTAGTAAATGGACTGACGCTGAAATAAATCTTAACTCAAAATTTTCTGCTTCGAAGGATTTTGTTCATAATTCATTATGTGGTAAATCTTATATATAGTTTAAAAAAATTGTTAAATAAATTACTAAAGTATCTTTATATATATTATGTTACATGTTATGTATTTATTATACATACTTGTTTGTTTATAGACAATATTGATACAAAAAGTGCTTTGGATGCAATCAGAGATATTGTAGCACATTGCAATATTTATATGAAGCAAAATAAAAATCCAAATACTCTATTACTCAGAGATATTGCAGTTTACATTACAAAAATATTCACTATTTTTGGTGCTATAAATTCATCTCATGATGGAATTGGTTTTCCAATTGATAATGAGACAACAAAAACAAATGTATGTTAAAGTGAATATATATTTATGATTATAATCGTTTACAAAAAACTAT